ATTTAACTTAGTTTGAATTTAATTTAACAAGGAACCCTTCCAATGATCTACTTTTTTTTTTTTTTTTGACTAGGCAGTGGGGGTTAAGTGACTTGCCCAGGATTACACAGCTAGTAAGTTTATGTGTCTGAGGCTGGATTTGAACTTAGGTCCTCCTGAATCCAGGCCTGGTGCTCAATCCGCTGTGTCACCTAGCTGTCCCTGCAATGGTCTATGTTTTTGAGAGCTTAATTAAGAGGTGTGAACCCTACCCCATCCAGTACAGCATTACATATTCAACCTACATATCTTTGTATAATTGGCCCCATTTCTAGATTTCACTTCTTCCTCAACTCCATCCTGGAGAATCCTTGGTTGATGAAAGCACTCTTCAGCTGCCATTAGCCATAAAAGAAAATTTCCTTTTCCCCCAATTATTAGCTGTCTCTCATTCTCTTGAATCATTTTGTATTTACATTATTTGTCTACTTATATTTCTTCAGTGGAATGTAAGCTCCTTGGGGGCAAGGATAGTTTCATTTTCAATTTTTTTCCCTTAGTGCCTAGCTTGGTGCTTTACCCATAATAGGAGTTTAATAAATGTTTGTTGATGTTGTAATCCCTTGGGGAAAAAATGAGAGGAATGGACTAGATGATCTCAGAAATTCCAGGTCAACAATCCTTAATATTGGTACTTATGATAGTATTGGTTATGGGATGGTGATGACATATGAACATTATATGGAATTTATGGAAAATGATGGTTTTCCATTTTGTGTTTTTTTGTGAACTTGTGGAAGTGATAGGAAAAGAGATCAACTGTGATGCTTCCTGTTTAAGATAAAAGTGGAGATTTTATATTTATTTTATTTGTGTTTTGTTTTTATCTATATATGCACATTGTTGTCCCTCCTTTTAGAATGTAAGCTCCTTGAGGCATGGACTTGTTTTTGTGGTCCCAACATTTAGCACTGTTTCTGACTTATAAATACTTATGAATTAAGACTCTTGAAAATGGTATCAATCATGTGTCAAGTTCAGTTTTCTTTTTACTCAATCTCAGTCTAATGAATTAATAAGGCAGCTGTTTGTAATAATGTGACATATTCTGAATCTCTCCTTATATGTGACTGTTAGATGTAGATAGAATATTATTGTGCTGTGAGAAACGATGAGCTTAATGGTCTTAGAAAAACACGGATAGACTTAGATGAAATAATGAAGAGTGAAATGAACAGAACCAAGTGAATGTTGTATACAGTAACAACAATACTGTTTTAAGAACAACTTTGAGTGACTAAGTTATTCTGACAATTATAAATGCCCAAATTAACTACAAAGGATATATGAAGGAAGACACTTATCTTCGTCCAGAGAAAGAACTGATAAATAGAATTATGTATAGAATTGTGTTACATATAAATATATACTTGTGCCTGATGGTAGCCATCTCTAGTCAGGGGAAGGGGGAGAAAAAAAGAAAAAAAAAGAAAGTGATGTCATAATTTTATTAGATATTTAAAAGGAATAGCAAGTTGTACATAATAGATTTGCATCTTTTTTCAATTCTACTATGTTATGGAAATGCAGCCCATTCTCAGCTCTTAACTCCCCTAAACACTTACATTCTACTGGGAATGTACTTTTCAAGGTAAGGCCCAGTCCAGAAGCCTTGTCCATATTCACTAAAAGGCATGCCAAATCATCCCTCTTGATCCTTGGATTTCTTCCTCCCCTTTGTGTATCCACATATACTCCTACCCCCTTAACAAAAGACAAGCAAAACTGAAGAAAGGGATTACAGCCCTGACCTCAGTCCTGTGGTTTTCTTTTCTTTCTCTTTTCTTTCTTTTTTTCTTCTTCTTACGAATACCCATTCCTTGCTTATGTGCTAACTATGCATCTGGCTAATGTGCTCTTCATTCCTTGAGAATCTGATGGTCTTGACCGTGAAGTTAAATATTTATAAGTTGATTCAATATATTTCTAGTCCCAAAGTATACTGTGGCCAGATTAGTTTGGGAAATTTCCCTACAGAGTTTTTTGTATTCTTGAGGATTGTGGGTTTGCATTTTCACCCTTTATTTATGCCATATCATATGCATAATGTGGGTTATTCTGAAGAGGAAAAAGAGTGGAAAAACTACCCAAACAAACATATAATATGAGTGGTCTGAGTGGTTGCCTGGAAGTAGTGGATACAAGATTGGCCTTCAAGTCAGAAATACTTGGGTCCTAGTCCACTCACAACTCTGTGACCATGGGCAAGCCATTTTAGGAAGTGCCCCAGGCAACTCTCTGAAAGTTGATCTTTGTCATTGATCTGCATTGGTGGAAGGAGTTTACACACTGAGAATTCTTCATACAAATGAAAGTACATGTCTGAATCTACGTCTCCCATACCCTCACCAAAATGAGTGGCTTAGGACTCATTATAAAGCTAGTACTACTATAAGGGGAGGAGTTAGGGTTTAAATTTAAGGTGAAATTTCTGGATTTCAGTTTCCTCATCTGTAAAAAGAATGAGTTTGCTTAGGTGGCCTGTAAGCCCCACTTCCAGCTATAAATCGTATGATCCTGTGACCAGAGCAACTCTTAAGAAAAGTTTTTCCACCAAAAAAGGTTGATCCTTAACTAGGTATCTAGCTCATTGCCTTTAAAGGTCAACAAGGAGTAGCCATCTTTGGGGGGAGATGATGAAGAGGTCACTGAGTATTAGCAGGCATTATTAAGATGATACACAGGCTCCCTTTTTGTCAGATCAAAGGAAATCCTTTTTAGGAAGTGGTTACCAGAGCCTTTTGAAACTAACTGGGCAGTAAAATGAGGGGTAAGGAAGAATTGAGGTTTAGAGTGATATTCTGAGCTACTACCTAGAGAGCCAATACTACATGCCTTTTTATTTTAATTAGAGTTATGGATGTGTTTAGTATGGTTCACAACAATTCAAGATTTGCCTAGGATTTGTTGAGTTAGGCTCTTGGGTACTTGATTATTCAGACAGTAGTTTATTTCATTTTGTTGTTATAACCCTTGGATGTGAGAGAGACTATGCCTTGGTCTGTTTTATAAAGCTTGAATTGAGAGAAGAACTGAGAGAAGTCTCAAGGGAGGACAAACAAGGATTAAGCAGTAAGATACTGGAAATAAGATGAAAGAAGTGGATTTTTCCTGAAGAGAAGAAAGGTGAAGTTAACTTTAATTATTGTATCAAGTATATAAGGCTTTCTACTTTTTAACACACTTGATCGCTTCATCATTCTTGAAACTTTACTTCTTTGATACTACATTACCATTTTTCTTTTATTAACTCTTGGAACTAATTGTTCTTTTTTTCCCCCAAGCCCTAAATGTAAAGTTCACTCCTTAACTCCTTAAATTTCTTTTTATTCTTTTCCTTTGAGATCTCATCTGTTTGCATGGCTTCAACTATCTTCTTTGTGAGTATGTTTAATTTTATAGCTTTATTTTATGCTTAATTTTATAGCTTTAGCCTGGTCTTTTCCCTAAGCTCCTGTTTTGTGTATCTATCTGGCATTACTTCTAACTAATCATATGCAAAACAGAACTCGGCTTTCTTTCCCTCTTCCCTTCTCTCTGACTTTCATTGGTCTCCCTTTCCTGCTTTCCCTATTTTCTCGGTCATATCAGTTGTTCCAGTTTAAGACCTGGTAATAGTTCTTTTGTTTGTGTCTTTTTACTTCTCATTTATTCCTACATAGAGCCATAGAATGTCACCTGGAAGATTTTCTTATATTCTCGATAAGGAAAATGAAGTTTATAGAAGTAAAATGATTCAACAAAGGTCACAAGTTAGTTAATGTCAGAGGTGATACAAGGGCACAAATCTTCTGATTCCTAGGCCATGGCTTTTTCCACCATAGAATGTGTCTTGGTTGGTTTCCTAGTTAAATGGAACACTGTGACATCAAGCTTTGAAAACTATGTGCATCTTTGTTGGAGAAGCACAGTGGGAGATTGGAGAGTATTACCAGATTTGGAGTTTGGATCTCGTCTCTGACACTTACTTAACTGTGTAAATACAAGCAAATCACTTAACATAAGTCTGTTTCCTCATCTGTAAAACAGTAGTAATATCTCTAGTGCTCACATTGAATTTCTTTGGGCATCCAGGAGAAAGACCTTTAGCTATTTATCTATCCCTTTCCAGTATCCAGTTTACTTCTTACCTTTTTATGAAGCATTTCTTCACCTCTCCAGCTCACTGATTTCTTTCTTTACTTTCTTCACTTCTTTCTATCCCTAAAAACTTGTTGTTTGGCCTATTTGTCTTGACCCAGTCTTACGCTGGCTTGCATTTTTCATATGTATATCATTTCTTCAAAACCAGATTGTAAGCTTGTTGAGTGCAAAATTGCATAATATTTATTTTGTGTTGTGTAAACCTCATAGCACCTAGTTTGGATAGCGGGAAAACAGTAGGTATTTACCAAATACTTGTTGGATGAATAAATGAATGGGAGAGGGGGGGAGTGCCCTGGAGTGTTTGGGAGATCCATTGTGGATAATTGAGCTGAAAATGAAGTTTGTTTTTTTTTTTAAAGAGGATGGCTATTAATCTGTAGCATATACGAATAATTATATCTCAAAGGCCCCTTCTACCTCTAAATCCTTTTTTTTAATGAGGCAATTGGGGTTAAGTGACTGGCCCAGGGTCACACAGCTAGTAAGTGTTATGTGTCTGAGGCTGGATTTGAGCTCAGGTCTTCCTGAATCCAGGGCCGGTGTTCTATCCACTGCACCACTTAGCTTCCCCTCTACCTCTAAATCCTATGCTCCCTAGTAAAACTTTTGTGATTCTATTAAAAATAGTTAGGTATGCTACCCTATTGGTTTATGTTATGGGTAGTTAGTCCCTAGAAACTAAGGGACTAACAGTGAATTACCTTTTCATAATGTGCAGCACTCCTGGCAAAAAAAATTATAAGTGGTGACAAATACTGTGAAATGGTTTAAAAAAATGTACTCTTCTAATTCAGTTTCTTTTCTTTCTTCTTTAGATATTATATAGATTACTTTAAACATGGGTGAAATAGAGCAGAAGCCAACTCCAGGATCACGGTTAGGAGCTCCTGAGAATGCTGGGATCAGTACGTTGGAACATGGACAGAAATTGCCCACAGCACCCCCGGGAAAACTTATTTCCATTAAAATCCAGATGCTGGATGATACCCAGGAAGCATTTGAAGTTCCAGTAAGTTGTTGACAAATATGTAGACTCCAAAAACATACCTTTTTGTGTGGTGGTGGGAATTGAATACTAGATTGGTGTTAGGGGTATGATCTGGAATGGGTAGGTAAGAGTTCTGCATTTTATATATGAGTGCAGTGACCGAGCTACTTACCCATCTGTCCCGACCCATTTCTGTAATTTCTATGCAAGTCTGAGATGGTTTACTGCTAGAGGGCAGAGAGTAGGTATATGCTTTTTAATTTGTTCAGGACATAATAAAGTGCTATGCACACTTTGAATGGGTCATGAATTTGATAAATTTGGTTATTTACACATTGGTAAATAGACTATTTCATGAACTAGAGAAGACTTGTGAAAGACTACAAAAGATAGGGAAGGAAAGAGGTAGAGGGTGAAAGTATTTTAAGACACTGAAGAAAAAAATGCTTTGTATAGAATATAGGAAAGAAAAGAGCATTGTGGATGGATTCTAGGTTTCTTTATCAATTACTGTTATTTCTGTTGACTTAGAGTAATCCATTGCTTAGAATATTGCTATAATTTGAGTGATCATAGTTGTACCAAAAAAAAATTATAAAAAAGACATAGATTAGCATCAAGTTTTATTTGGGAAGATAATTCTAAGAAGAGCTTTGTATAAAACTGCCTTTCTGTTGTGGAATTAAAATCTGAATAAAGCTATGTTAACCTTTTCAAACTTTAGAATATATTGTGGGATATCACCTGTTGAAATTAGACATTTGAGAGCTTTCCTCTGTTTTCTGTAGTTTTTTTTTTAAAGGTGGCTTGAGAGGGTTTCCTATCAGTCTCCAAACACATTTATTAGTGAGATACTTACTTTCAGCATTTCCTACTTATGAAAATATCCTCAGGGGGCAGCTAGGTGGTGCAGTGGATAGAGCACCGGCCCTGAAGTCAGGAGGACCTGAGTTCAAATCCGGCCTCAGACCAACTAGCTGTGTGACCTTGGGCAAGTCACTTAACCCTGATTGCCTCACCAAAAAAAAAAAAGAAAGAAAATATCCTGGGCTCAGTGACTATTATGAATTGCTAAACCAAATTCTATACCAGTAAGTCATGTTAAATGATGTTTGCTGAATGCATTTTGGAGTATTTATCAACTGCTATTATGTGTGACAAGTACAGTAGACATTAGAACGTATTCTCCTGCAGTCCTGAACCAAAGATCGTAGAGTTGCTTGCCAGGCAAAGAAATTGTGAGCATAGAAGATAGGTATTTCCAGAGAGTTTGCAATAGTGTTGAATTGTTTAAAATGCAATAAAATTGAGCTTTTAAAATGATTTCTTTATTGGCAATTTCCTTGTGCCTGTAAATAGCTAGTTTAGTTACTGAATAAGGGACACTGAAGGGTGATGGGGATGTGTGTATTTTATTTTATTTTATTCTTTACATTCATAATGAGACTCTTTTTGTCTATAGGAAGCAAATTTTATACTTTGTTATTGTTGTTAAGTTGTGTCTGACTCTTTAAGGCCCCATTTGAGGTTTTACTGGCGAAGATATTGAAGTGGTTTGCCATTTCCTTCTTCAGCTTATTTTATAGATGAGGAAACTGAGGCAAATAGGGTTAAGTGACTTGCCAAGCTAGGAAGTGTCTGAAGCCAGATTTGAACTCACAAAGATGAGTCTTCCTGATTCCAGGCCTAGCGCTCTATCCACTGTACCACCTAACTGCCCCATTTTGTACCTTAAGAATGTCTTGTTGTTGTTTTTTGTTGTGATAGCACAATCACTTCCTAAGAACATTGTTCCCTATCTCTAATTTAAAAAAAAAGATACCTGCCTACCTCAGCAGCATTTAGAAGTGTGCTTTGTAAGAAGAAAATGTCATATTAATGAAATGCTTAATGAGCTATTATGGTTTTTTCTCTGTGTATGAGTGTGTGTATATGTGTGTGAGTGGTACACACACACACATGTAGCCAGACAGAAATGGAACTATTTTCCCCTCACAAGTAATAATTTTTCTTTTTGGAGCTTATGCCAACTTGTAGAGACCATTTACTAAGGTACTGTGATTTGTATCAGTGGAGGGAATAATCACAGGAATGAAGTCATGTATCACTTAAATCATTATGATCTTATCATGGAGGAAAGGTTGTATATGTGCTACCTTAGAAAACAAGCACACTAACTTGATAGTGTATGAAAAAATACAAGGGCCTCAGATAAGGTTTGAGGAGTGAGAATGGAAAACAAAGGATGGGTATAAGTGAATTTATTCCACCCTCATCATTTTATTGAGTTACTCTTTTCACTCTTTATGTGCATTCTTGCTAGTTTTTTGGTCCATTTTAATATTTAAAAACAATTTGTGACAAATTCACATATCGTTCTCTTTTGAATAAGTAAATTTTTCAGTCTCTATGAGTGTATATTTGAGCATATATTTCTATATTTGTAGTCTGTGTATTTATACTTTTTCAATTTTCTTAGACTTTTTATATTTCTGTATTTTTAAAATTTGTCTTTCTTATGATCATAGTACTCTGTTATAATCATGTACTGGTCTGTTTAGCTTTCTCCCTTTTGGACATGCACATTGTTTCTAGTTTTTCCTCTCATAAAAATCCAAGGTTTTCATTTTACAAAATCCCTCTTTTCCTGCTAATGTGCTCGTATTTCTCATACTTTATACTTTTTTATTTCTAGATTATTAACCCCTTCGTGTCTGAGATTATACCTCCTACTTCCATTGCTTTCTATTACACTTAGTAGTAAATATAATTTTAGAGGTAGAAAGAATTTAGAGATTATCTAAAGCTTTTACTTTATAAATGAGGGCACAGGTCCAGAGTGATATTTGTTCGTCACAGGAGTAGGATTGGGACCTAGGTTTTCTGCCTCAGTTCAATCCCTTTAACACACTATACTCTCCACCTCTTTGTAGTATGATGCGTATAATAATTATTTGATAAATGTTTGTTGAGTGGATGAATTTCTGTCTATAAACATTTAGGGTTTGTTTTACTTGGGTGTACATATTCTAAATTTTTGATGTTGGAGGGAAAAAGGGTAGTATATAATAAATTTTTTTCTTATTTACAATTCCAACTAGATAACATCTCTGCAAATAAGTTTTTAAGAAAGACCCTTGTAAGAGGCTTAGTGCATAGTGGATAGAGCTGGCCCCCATGCTAGAAAGAACTGAGGTAAAGCTTGCCCCTGACATTCCCAGCTGAGTGATCCTGGCTGAGCTCCTTAAACTCTCAGTGGTCCAGGACAGTGGTGTCCAAATGAAATGGAAATGGGGGGGGGGGCACCACTAAACCCTACGGAAGGATCCCTGTGGGCTAAATGTTTACCTAGAAAACAACGTGATAACATTGTGTTATATTGTGTTTTTGTTTATTTTGTTACATAGTTCCCAGTTAATTTTAATCTGGTTCAAGTCTGCACTCCAGAGCTTTAGGGTCCACAGGAGGTGTGTTTGACACTTCTGCTTTATGGCAACTCCTAGGATTGTAAGTTTCAGAGAAAGTGACAATGTGCATTAGCAAAGTAGATTCTTTACCAGGGAGCTTTTGTTGCTGTTGTTGTTGTTCAGTCTTCTCTGACTATGAAGTGGTTTGCCATTTCCTTTTCCAGCTCATTTTATAGATGAGGAAACTGAGGCAAACAGGGTTAAGTGATTTGCCCAGGGTCACACAGCTAGTAAGTGTGTTCAGGCTGGATTTAAACTCAGGTCTTCCTGACTCTAGGCCCAGCATTCTATCTACTTCGCCATCTAGCTGTCCCAAGCGCACCAGGGAACACTTCCAGAGGTTCCCAGACTTATTTGGCCTACCACCCCCTTTAAAAAAATTACTCAGTGGCCCCTGGAAATCTACTTTCTTTAACCCTTTAATGGTTTTTTAAAATTAAATTTGCATCATTATTTCAAAAAAAAATACAAAATATTTTTTTAAATGATGCATCTTAAATTTAATAATTTATTGTAAGGGGCAGCTGGGTGGTGCAGTGAATAGAGCACTGGCCCTGAAGTCAGGAGGACCTGAATTCAAATTCGGCCTCAGACCAAACACTCGACACTTACTAGCTGTGTGACCCTGGGCAAGTCACTAAACCTGATTGCCTAAAAAAAAAAAAGCATCAATAAATTTATTGTAAATTGGTGAGTTTTTTCCTGCATTAAAATTTTGATGATACAATATTGTGTCATGTAACTGTATAATATCATATTATAAACAAGTCATTACATGCAAATATTCTTGCCCAGTGATACGCTACATGCTTGTTGTTTTGCCAACACTTGCTTGTTAAGACCTGTCAGTGGACTTGACCGTTGATAGTTTATAACTTGCACTTTGTGTGTTTATTTGGAAAATAATGTAATCACTATGACTTTAACTCTGTTGCCCACAGATGAAACATGTACAAATGTTTTTTTCAAAATTTTCTTCTCTTGTCTTCTTTCCTTATGTTTCCACTGCCCCTTTATTTTTATTCAGTACTCTTCAATTGTACCTGAGGCTACTACTAACCCCCCCCCCGCCATGGTTCCAGCACCACCCCCCCCTCGACTTTGGGAACTTTTGCTTTAAACCAATGAAATTACAGGTCCAGTCTCTATCTCTGTTCACTGTAAGTACATACTATACATTGTGGATTATAATCATTTTAATTGTCACAATGGAACTGCTGTTTTCAGATAAAGCAAATAAGATCAAAGTAATAGGCTTTGTATTACAGGAAAATTTTAAAAAGTCATAGATTTAGCGTAAGATAGAGCCTTAGAGATCATTTACTCCATTGCTCTCATTTCACATTGAGAGCTCAGAGAAGTTATGTGACTTGCTCGAGGTCATGTAGATAATATGTGGCAGAGGCAAGATTCAAACCCAGGTCTTCTAATTCCAAATCCAGTCCTCTTTCCACTATATCATGCTGAATTATAAGATTACTTTTTTCTACACAGCATACTTTTATTCATAGAATTTCTGTCTCCTCTGTTCCTTCTTATGCCCCTTCTCCCCCT